ACATCTCTTTGCTCTCCAGTGGTTGGCAGTGTTAAGCATACATCATGAATTCAGAATTATTGGATAAATGATGAAAAGTAATTTACCAATATCACCAAATTTTTTGTCTTCTTTATTATTGCTTTCTACATATTTTCTTGCATCAAACCACCCGATAATTTTGTATAATTCTCCACAGGAACAAAAAGTGGCATAGAAAGATGAGGGCAAACAATTTCTGTCAAAACCTAGACACTCAAGATAGTATTTAGTTTGGCAACCAAACTATCTCGCAGAAGTAAATTATAAAAATCTCATTTCTGAGATTTTAAAAGTGAAACAGTACATTACAATCCTGGTTTTTAAAAAAGTGAATTAAACTGATAATTTACAGTTTTATATTTTTATAGAATACCTTTATATTTGTTACACAAATACAAAACTTGTTATTTAAATAGTAACTGCTAACATGGACATAAGTTACTATGTCTGACAATGGTGTTCTATAAACAAGAGATGAACAGTCTTTGTCAAGAATAATTGTGTGCATTTTTGTTATCTGCGTTTTCAGTTTTTAACATTATAAAAAAGAATCAGTAATATGCAACAATTTCTTAGTTCTCTAAGCATTGCTATTATTCTCCTCTGGAAAGTATATTCATATTAGAATTTTTGAAATTGTTCTTAAGATGATAGGCTACGATATTTTTTCCCTTTAATAATCACATGATTCAGGAAGTTAAATTCACTATTAAGTGAATATTAAGTTCCCTTACCTTTCATCAATATTTGTTGTAAGGTAAATTAAACTAAGTATCAGTCTCCTTGTCTCTTGATCTTTCACATCCTCTTCTATACACCACAAACAATCTCCAATACCTGTGTTGCTTTTAAAATACATCTGTGAAACTTTGATACTCATCCCTTCAAGGGGTGCAACTTAATTTCTTGCCCCACTATTTAGTGACTTGCTTCTAATGAACAAAATTAAGTGGAAGTGAAGGAATGTGACTTTGAGACTAAGTCGCAGAGGGCACATTTCTCTCTCTCAGATCCCTTACTTCGAGTGAAGTTAGCTGTCAGTTTGGGCAGACAGGCTCGTGTGGAAAGGTCTCTGGCCAACAGTCATGTGAGTGACCCATCTTGGAAGTGGATCCTCCAACCAGTTAAGCCTTCGGATGACTGCAGTCCTTGTCCACATCCTGACTTCAACATAAGAGACCCTGAGTCAGGGCCACCCAGGTAAGTCACTCCAGAATTTCTGACCCACAGAAACGCAGATAAATTTGTTGTTTTAAGCCCTAAGTTTTGGGGTGAGTCTGGAATAATATGAGAGATAATACAAAAGACTGTGCAAATTACTGTGGTGTACAAAAGACAAAACTAAAGTTGTCCATTAAACTGAGTATTTCCTTCCCTACTGTCTCAAGCAGAGCACTAAGGGTCATCTAATGATAGAGGCTTTGTCTTTACCTCTTTCTGTCCCTTTAGAAGTCAAAGGATTTTTGCAAGCTTTTTGTGTAGGAATAACATGAATAGAGATTGAACTATAAATTTCATGTCTCTTAAGTAAAATTTTCTAAAAGGGCCTCTTTCCCCTTCAAATATCCCTCTTTCCTCTACTTTATGTCTCTTTTTCCTAGGCAGCCAGAATGGCTATTTGCTAAAATGTCCACCTTTCCCTTCTCAAACATCCTGACAAAACAAAATCCTAAACAAAACAAATAGTCTAAAGAAAACAAATTATCAAACCACCCACCAAATAGAAGGAAGAAAGGACTGTGGGTGGCTCGTAGTGGCTTCGTTCTGTTACTGGTTCAAAGCATTTCTATTAACTTACTAATTCATTATAGAAGCTAGGCCAATTGACTGGGAATGTGATTTCTAGAAACAGATTAGTTTTGCAGAAGACCAATAATATTAAAGTATACTAAAAATAGAATAAAAAAGAATCACACCATCACCTTAACCATTTCTCTATAATGCCTTCTAGTTCTCATCCATGTGAGTATATACTCTTAAAAAACTGCAACCAACCAACATGGATTTTTTCCATTGTGGAAGAAACTTGAATATAGCTACACATTCAGAGTTCTTTAGGAAAGGTTTCACCTGTATTAGCTAAAGGTGAATTATAACTCACTAAGTATAGACCAACACATAGGCCAGTGGAACATATTTTAATTTCCATTGCTTGATGGGCCAGTATTTTTTCTAACATAGGCCTAATTTTTCACACTAAGCATACAGACAACTCTCAAATATTCAATACATCTAATATATCCATTCTTTTAGAATGTATTTTTTCTTTAATCCCTTATACGTTTAGTGCTCATTAGCACTTTGGCTAGAGATATATAAAAGAAGAGGAAGCTGAAATACAAGACAGTTAATTTTAATTTTTATTAAATGGTTACAAAGAAAATTGAGTTGATGAGCTATTCAAAGTATAAAAATGTGGCTATAACATAAATCTTTCCTCTATTTAGTAAAGATAATTAAGAGAACTCACTGAAGTTAGATTTATTCCTTATCTGGAGCTTTTCCTCTTACCATCTGCCCAAAACTATAGTTACAATCGATGTAATATTATTAATTCTTTGCACACAGGCTATCTCTGAAATGATTTCTGTTACTTAATTTCATCCCAGGTATCCAGATATATATTTCACAGATAAAATAATTAGCCTACAGAATTTAAACAAATATAATTTTTAAAGAGATTTCTGTTGAAGGTCTGCTGTTGATACTTGACTGAAAATAAACTCTAAAACTTTCATAAATAACAAATTATCCAAATTAAAAAAAAAAACTATTACTATATCTTAGAGCTTTTCACATCATCCCTTTTGTTCTAACCAAAGTTTTATTTTCAAAACTACCTTCTACATAGTTTAAACTGGAGATGTCCTAATACTTTCAAAGGAATGCTATAAATTATTATTAAATTTGTGGTATAGTAATGGCATTTGGAAGACACTGAAACAGGAAGATTAGAAATATTGTTTATTTAAGCACTAAATTTATGTCAGTATAGTAATTCAACAATTTTATAATGTACTACAATAGGCCTAGTAACAAAATTGTATTCCAAAAAGTCAGAATCATTGTTTCTCAATTTCCTCTTTTGCAAAATAAACCTAGTATATTTCAATGCCATGGTTTCAGTGTTTATCAGCATTTTTAGATACATGGAAAATCGAATGGGGGTGAAGAAAACTGAATGACTCAAAGAATGGTTTCAAATAAAAATATATATAATAACGGGTACCAAGATAACTTCTTATTCTAAAACTTTTATTTATAGAGAAAAGCTCTCGAAATTGGATTTCTCAGATTTGATGTTAAATAATAAGATAGTCTTAGTTATGCAATCAGTAACTGAATAACCCTGACAAAGTGAAAATCTCCTACTTTATTTAGAAGGAAAGAAATAAATACAGCACTCTTGATTTAATTGTTGTTGATGTTAAGAAATCTTATTTGTTAAGAGTTCTTATTTTATTCAAAATATGTATCATCCCACTAAAAGCCAATTCATCTCATTAAAGATATCCTTTTCAAACTTATAAAATTTCAATGGCTTATGAAAACATGGAGAACAATATAATATACATATATACTACCGAGTTAACAAGTGTTAACATTTTGCATACCTACTTAGCTCTCTTCTATTAAAAAAAAAAAAAAAAGTTGCAGATATAACTGCTGAAGCCCTCATTATTCCTTTCTCAGGTATCACAGTCTCTTTTCTCCCCAATTCTGGAAGTGATCGTTTTTCTAAAGAAGATGTGTGTCCTTCCTGTCCAGGTTTTTATACTTTTATTACATATTTGTGTTTTCACAAACATTAACGTTATGTTTTAAAAACTACATAAAGTATCCTAATTAGTCAGGCGTGGCAGCATGTGCCTGCAGAATTGCTTGAACCTGGGAGGCGGAGGTTGCAGTGAGCAGAGATCATGCCACTGCACTACAGCCTGGGTGACAGAGCAAGACTTCATCTTCGAAAAAACAAAAACAAAAACAAAACAAAATAAAACCAACAACAACAAACTATATAAAGTATTCCCATTTTATCATTTTGTAATTTCCATCTTTACTCAACATTGCTACTGAAATTTCGGCAAATTAATATATATTTAGTATATTTTAATTTTTCTAAAGAGTTTCTAAAGATCAACTATTCTGTTATTGGTGGATATTTAGGTTGTTTCTAACCCATGGCATGAACGTCCTTGTATATGTCTCCTTGCGGATATGTATTATTTCTTTCTGTATTACTTCAATAAAGTTTTGCTTAAGCTAGTTGGATGGATTTGTTTTTTTTAAACTAAGCACAGACAATTGAAGAAAAAGCTAGAAAGCTATTTTCTAATCTGTCTTATTATTTACCTGATTTTAAACTTTTATTTATTTATATACACACACCCACACCCACATATATGTACATATGTATGTGGATGTGGCTTTTAATTATTTAGAGACAGGGTCTCACTCTGTTGCCCAAGCTGGAATGCAGTGTCATGATCATGGGTCACTGTAGCAGCCTTCATCTCTCAGGCCCAAGCAATCCTCCCACCTCGGCCCACTGAGTAGCTGGGACTACAGGCATGTGCCATCCTGTGTGGCTAATTTTTAAATTTTTTATACAGATAGGGGTCCCCCTATGTTGCCCAGGCTGGTCTCAAACTGTTGAGCTCAAGTGAACCTCCCTCCTTCACCTCCCAAAGTGTTTGAATTACAGGAGTGAGTCACTGTGCCCAGTCCTATTTCTTTGTTAAATCTTTTCTTTGTTGAAATGCTTGTGATGTAGAAAAAAAGTTAGTAGGAAATACAAAACCTTAGCCTTTATTTTACTTGAAAATAGTTCTTCTATTCAGAAATATTTAAGTCACATATTTATATACATGGAACTTCTGTTTGGAATTCCCGTGGTAGATCACTTCAGAAAAATAAAATGAGGAAGCTAGGTTACGCATCAGCATTTGAATGCTGCTTTCTGCAGAAGCAATGTCTACCTTTGGTAGTTTTTCCTTTGCTATTCCTGAAATCACTTTATTATGTGGCTGATCAACAGTCAAATTATTCTTCCTTCTTTCACTGTCTTCAAGCAGAGGAACACAGCCATAATTGCCATCTGCAAGACAAAAACCTCCTGGATATTAGCAGAAAACCCTTATTTTTGGTACCACCTGAAAAAGCAAAATACAAACTCAAAACCGTAAAGAGAATAGATTTTAAGGTAGGAGTTTTAGAAAATTCTTTAGGTAACAGTTACTTTGACAAGTTGTCCATTTACATTTTTTCCTTTCCACTAAACATACAAAACCCCTGCTCTCCAAAAGTCAGCAGTATGTAAAATATACAGAATTTAGAAAACTAGAAATATGCTCTTTGCCCCTGTCAGCAACAATTCAACTTTTATATAAGTCATATTTTCAGGTATGCATTTCTTATTTAAGATAATTATTTGTATTATGACTCCATGCTTATCATAGGAAAATTAGAAAATGCAGATAGCCAAAAAGAATAAAAAGTAGATGTTACCCAAATTTTTATCACCTGTGAATTATTCCAGTTAATACTTCTGTTCCTAAACACATAAATTGACACAAGAATCACCTTTTTCTGCATAAATGAAAATAACACTTATTTATGTATCCTGCTTCGTTCATTTTGCTATATATCATCAAAATATTCTTACAAGTTAATACCTATTATCACTTTTCTTGGCTACATAGCTATTCATATAGATCACTGTAACTATTGACTATTTGTTTCTAGCTTTCCATGATTAGAAATTATACTGTGATACACATCCTTGCATATATATTTTTGAGTACCTGAACAAATGTTTTCTCATGATATAGTCTTAGGACTTGAGTTTTTGGTTCAAAAGGCATAGATGTTTTCAAAAGCTTTTGCTGCTATTTACTGGCAAATTGCTTTTTAGAAAGTTTTATAAACTTAGAGTTCCACCGTATAGTATTAGTATAGTATAGCATAGTATAGTATACTATAGTATAGTATAGTATAGTATACTATAGTATAGTATAGTATAGGTGAAAGTCCACTTTCCCATATCCTGCAAGTGTTCATTTAAATAAATGTAACATATAACGGTACCACAGTTATAATATCAAAACTATTGAGAAACAATGAAGGAATAAAACAGAAGAACTCAGCTTACACCTTTCTTTTCACCAAGAGGTTCTAGAAATACATAAAAAATTAACATGCACATACCTTGAGTGGAGTTCACAAGAAGTAACTGTGATTTTAGCTTGTCAATAATAGTTTGTTGAAGTGACAGCTGTTCCTGTTGTTCACGTATTCTCTGCTCATAGTTCTCAGTCTGCTGACATAAAAACCAGTTAGCCTGATATTTACTGACAGACATGAACACATTATTTACCATCCATTAATAATATAAACAGATATGAGTTGCCCACATTGTCATTTTGCAGGTATTGTGATTTATGAGATACAAACTGGTTCCAGGAATGTACTTGTAATTGTTACAAACATCAGTGATTGAAGACACTTAAAGCATCGTAAAAGTTTTAAAGATTATCTTATTTGGCCGGGAGCGGGGGCTCATGCCTGTAGTCCCAGCACTTTGGGAGGCTGAGGCGGGTGGATCATGAGGTCAGGAGATCGAGACCATCCTGGCTAACACGGTGAAACCCCGTCGCTACTAAAAATACAAAAAAAATTAGCCGGACGTGGTGGTGGGCGCCTATAGTCCCAGCTACTTGGGAGGCTGAGGCAGGAGAATAGCATGAACCTGGGAGGTGGAGCTTGCAGTGAGCCGAGATCGCGCCACTGTACTCCAGCCTGGTAGACTGAGCAAGACTCCGTCTCAGGAAAAAAAAAAAAAAAAAAGATTATCTTATTTAAAAACATATCAGTCAAGGATTCAATTTATGATTTCCTGATCCTTCAGTAAGGATCAAAACTGTAATTTAGCATTTATTCCTTAAAGAAAAAAAAAGCACAAATGAAACAACAAATACTATATTAAAGTGATTTTTTAAAAAATACACACTAACTTAAAAAATTAAGATTTTGTGTCTTTCAAATAAACACACGTCTAAATTTATTTTTAGGGTACACAAACACTAAGGAAGTGTTGATAAAAATCAAAGGGACAAATACAAATTATAAAATTATAATGACCAGAAACTTGTCTGCTAAGTTTTAAGAAATTAAGAGAACACCATGGTTGACCTTTGGTGTCTATCTTAAATGCCATAGTTTCCCTTATATTGTTAATCCATTCATTTTGCTATTTTATCGCAATGACTGTGAAAATACAGCAATGAAATAAGACACAAGTTTGTACTGAGGAATACAGATGCCACAAACCTTCAAGCAAATTTGAAACTGTTGTATCACAATTACCAAATTAGTACAGTCTTAAAAACGTATCACCAAACAGTAATAGAGAACTTTTTTTTTTTCTTTAACCAATTTCTATCCCTGGAGTGATAAATAAATGTTTAAGTTGCAAATTCCTTGAAATATAAAATGAAAATGAAGTTCTAATAATCTCAGAATGATATTCAGTAGATACTATTTGACTTTAAACTGATTCTTAAAGTTCAAAATTAGTGAAGCTCTATTATTTTCAGAGACCAATAAACTTAAAAATTTTAATAAATTACACAGCTGTTCATAGATTAGCAAATATAAATTAGCTTAAGAAATTAAAGCTGGCAGTGAAACCCCGTCTCTACTAAAAAATACAAAAAACTAGCCGGGCGAGGTGGCGGGCGCCTGTAGTCCCAGCTACTCGGGAGGCTGAGGCAGGAGAATGGCGTGAACCCTGGAGGCGGAGCTTGCAGTGAGCTGAGATCCGGCCACTGCACTCCAGCCTGGGCGACAGAGCAAAACTCTGTCTCAAAAAAAAAAAAAAAAAAAAAGAAATTAAAGCTGGGGAGGCTGAGGCAGGTGGATTACAAGGTCAGGAGATCGAGACCATCCTGGTTAACACAGTGAAACCCTGTCTCCACTAAAAATACAAAAAATTGGCCAGGTGTGGTGGCAGGTGCCTGTAGTCCCAGCTACTCGGGAGGCCGAGGCAGGAGAATGGTGTGAACCTGAGAGGCGGCGCTTGCAGTGAGCTGAGTTCACGCCACTGCACTCCAGCCTGGGCAACAGAGCGAGACTCTGTCTCAAAAAAAAAAAAAAAAAAAGAAACGAAAGCTAAATACATTTTCCCAAATAAAAGGTGAACTTTTATAAGTAATACAGTTCAAATATGAATAACTGACAGAGCTGATAAGCAACCCATGTGGTGTGTTGTCTTTGCACACTGCCTAAAGGCAGTCTTACATAGTTTCACATTCCCCACAGAATTCATATAGATTAAGTAACTTATACATAGGAGATGTTCAGTATATATTCACTGAAAAACTTAAAAAGGAAATACGGACTCCAATTACATTTTATTATTGTGAACAGAAGAATGAATCATGTGGGTCTACCTGAAGTGTATGTCCAATGAATATGTCTCAGAAATGATCACTGATACCCAAGTCTAGTCTAGGGCCTGGCTTCCCAGGATAAGACATCTTATTTCTGTATAAATTCACATCCAACCCCCTAGGAACAGTGTGGTAAGCTGACTGAATGAAGGACCCAAAAATCTAGAGCAAATTCTAAATACCTTAGACTGATCTGGGCTACACAGCACCACCAGGGCTGAAGAATCAGCAAACAAGTTAAGAGTCTTCTCCATATATTTCTGCATTAATTAAAGCTTTCTCCAAGAACTCAAAGTTCTTCACAAACATCAATCAATAAGTACCTATTTTTTCACTTTATTTTGATAGGTATATACATTATACGGTCCAGAGATTAAGTGACCAGTCCAAAAAACTTAGCAAGTTAGAGACAGGTCTAGAATAAATGTCTATGTTATTCAAGTCTCTATGTCTTTTTCTCCCACCTTGATGAAGAAACCATGTATTTTCTTTTGAAACCAACTCAGAAAGCTTCTGCCCGTTAATTTTTATCTTCTATTCTCTGGTTTAAAAAACATACTTTAGCACATCTGCATATATTATAATAAATAATCCTGAAAATGTATTCAACAGCTAGGAAAAATTAATGGATCAATGGCTATTTCAAGTTGAAGTTTTAACTACTTCTTAAGCTACTTAATAAAGTATTATAAAGGTTGAGCAAAGTCTACAATAATTTTAAAAACCAACACTCTGGAAGTATAATAGAGGAAATAGAACAGCAAGAGCCCATGTTTTCCTCCTACACTTTTCACATACTTACATTTAGCAGTTATAATGTTCTAGTCTAATTGTCTAATGTCTGATTTCCCTCTAGACTGAACTTCTCAAGGGTAGAGAGTATTTCCTCCTGGTATCTCCAGAGTATTACAGAGTGGCTGGCACATACTGGGATGCTCGGTAAATATTAGTTGAATAAACAAACTAATTAAGTTGTTAAAGAAATATCACAGTTGAGCATCCCATGCTGCTGCTCTGCCTCTGGAGTAGTCATTCTTTTATTCCTTTACTTTCTTAATAAACTTACTTTCACTTAAAAAAAAAAAAAAGAAATATCAGAAAAACAGATATGCTTTCAGAAATCATCTGGAGGAATGGAGGAATGCCTTTGCTTATATTTCTCTAAGGGAAACAGTAAAAACAGAAACAAGGTCAGTAGGTAAATACAACAAAGGGATATTAAGTTTGAGAAAATGGATGCAAAAGATAGGTAATATTTGAAGATTTTTTTTTTGGAAAAAAAGGGAAGCTTATATCATTGGAAAAAAGGTAGCAATTTGAGAAAATGCATATTCAGAAAAGAGTATAAAGATTTTGACCACAGACTGTCAGATGGAAAGTCCAAAAGGAAATATTACATCAAACTGGGAAACAACCAGTAGAATTTGGTTTATTTGCTGTTTGGAAACTAAACGAAACTAGTCTTTTTTTTTTCCTTTTATTAAATGCTTTTGTTCACAGAACATATCTGCCTAAACTTAAAACCTGAAAAGTCCTTTTACAAGGTCAGATTATTGCTGTACCATCATAGTATTTTTTTTTAAATACAATTACAACGCAAGTACATTCTAGCACTATCAAAGACCCCACAAAACAGAAAACTCACTAACAACCACATTGAAAATGTACAACAGCAATGTCTTGTCAACACTTCTGTACAGAGCACAGACATGACAGCTAAAACAGACAGAAGAGAAGATGCTTTTGACAGCCAGTGTGTGTGAATGATTCTTTGAGTCAGATGGCAGCAACAAGTTACCAACTAGGAGATCTGCATGACAACTAACCATCCATCTGTATCAAACACCATCTGGCCAAGATGACTCTGGCTTCTGTGTATTTGACACTCCTTCCAGTTTCAAAGACTAGCAAAACAAGTGGTCTACCAGCATCTAAATAGGTAAATAGGTACTTAGGTACTTGTGCTATAAGGTACTTTGTTTTTTATTTTATTTTATTTATTACTATATTATTTATATAGAGACAGGGTCTTGCTATGTTGCCCAGGCTGGTCTCAAACTCCTGGGCTCAAGTGATCCTCCCACCTTGGCCTCCCAAAGTGCTGGGATTATAGACATGAGCCACCACGCCTAGCCCATAAGGTTAACTTTGTATTCTTTGTGTTCAAAAGTAAAACTTAAAACACTGGTGATCAAATATAGCACACATCCTAAATTTATTAAAAATGGTTGCCCATACTCTGGATTATGATAAGCAAAAAAAAAAGTTTATTTTAAAAATTACCCTTTTATCCAGGCAAAATTTCAATATTTCCTCTTCAAAACTAAGGCAGCATATTTCCTATAATTTTGTGTAGATATCTGTTTAAGTTTTTGTGAGTGTCATAAATATTAAAATAGAGTTCCATAAATTGAATTTTTTCCTATTGCTGGTATTGAACTTTTTTTTTTTTTGTATTTTCCAAGGCACTTATTTCTTACCTAGGGAAAAAAAAGTTTAAGTGCCCTTAAGTCATCTATAATATTCTAAGTCAAACATTTCTTCTCCTCCTCAATAACTAATTTCAATATTCTAAAAAATATCACTGCTTTCCTCCAATGATTTATTAAGGAATTTAATAAATGTTGAGTGGATTGAAAAAAAAATGAAATAGTCCCAATTTAAAAACTTTTCAAATTATTCCAAGGTTAACAAAGAGAATGAAAGATTTACTGAAGGATTTGCATGGCTACCACAAATGTTCTCCATAGGAAGCTCCACAGTTCATGAAGGAAGATAATTAAATATTAATTATCCTAATACATAGCACTTTAGATAGAAACTAATTTATTTAGACACAATCTAATTAAAATACATCTTGAAATTT